AGCTTGGATCATGCGAGGCGAGTGGGGAGACATCCAACATGGCAGAGATGGTTTATTTTTAATTGTTTTTGTAGTTTTGTTATTGAAAACAAGGGTGAAACGAGGCAAATTTGGGGACCCACCCCCTCCGAAAGCCAGAGGTCTGGGGGAAGGACCACGGCCACTGGGGCGGGCTCTGCAACTTCACTCTTGCAAGAGAGAGTGTCGGCAGGTACTTGAAGATGGCCAGCCTGCCAGGAAAAGCAGATGGGGTACGACTGAATGGTTGTGGCCCATCATGCCTGATGAGGGGTGAGTTGCTGAGTCTCGTGGTAGTATTCAAGATTCTTATGGTCAGTGAAGACCACAGTCGGTTCGATGGGGGATAAGAGATAGGGGCAGAAAGCCTTGAGTGTGTGAATGACAGTGAGCATTTCCAAGTCATAAACTTGATAGCACTGTTCTGCACCAATGAGGGATTGGGAGAGGTATGAGCAGGGGTGCCATTCGTTGTCAGCCCCTCATTGTGTGAGTACTGCACCAGTCCCAAGTTTCAAAGTGTCCGTAAAGAGTGTGAAGGGCTTGGAGAAGTCTGGGATGGTGAGGACCAGAGTGGAGCATAACAAAGACTTTAGCCTGTCGAACACAGAGTTGCGCTCTGGAGTCCACTGATAGGACACCCCTTTCTTTGTAAGGTCATGGAGTGGGCAGGTGATGCTTGAGAAGGACAGGATGAATTTGTGATAGAAGTTGCAGAACCCCAGGAATTGGTGAAGTCCTGTAAGGTTATCAGGGGCTTCCCAGGTACTAATGGCATCAGTCTTCATCAGTGAAGTCTCCATACGCCCTTTTCCTATTATCATTCCCAAGAATTCTATTTCTTTGGCCTCAAAGACACATTTGCTGATTTTGAGGCACAAACCTTCCTTCTCGCAAATTGTCAGGAACTTGCGAACCTGAGTTCGAAGTTCTTCTCTGGTTTTGCCATGGATCACCACATCGTCCATGTATCCAACTTGCTTCCCTCTTTGGGACTCGAAGGTTCGATCCATATATCTCTGGAAGGAAGGTGGTGAATTGCACTGTCTGAAGAACATTACTGTAGGTTCAAACAGTCCTCTTGGCATGATGAATGCCCCTTTCCATTTGTCTCCTTCCTTAACCCGAAGATTGGTAAATCCCCAACAAATGTCAAATTTTGTGTAATATTTTGATTTGACTAGCTCATCGAACAGAGCCTGAGCATTTGGTAACAGGTGTGCATCCTGGATGGTAAATGAGTTCAGATAATGGTAGTCTTGAATTAACCGTTTCTTCCCATCCTTCTTGGCAACAAAAAACACTGGGGCTGCTTGAGGCAATGTTGACAGTCGAATCTTTTTGCATTTCAGATTCTCTTCCAGGAACTCATCTAAGATTTTTAGTTCATCAGGAGACATGGGGTATACTGTTGCCTTCTTGGGTTTGAAGTCCTCCTTTAGCCGGATTTCGTGGTCCAACCTGGGTTGATGGACAGGCAATGGGATATCTTCTTCTGAGAACACCTTTGTGAACTCTCGATACTCCACTGGAAGCCTTACCTCTTCCTTCTTGGCAGCTAGAGCAGCCTCGAGTTCTGTGGAGAGAGTTGTTTTGTTAACAGAAATGGGGATTTGCACCATTTCTACCGGTGGGTCTGGGAGAGACCCCTGGTACCAAGGTACCACCTGTTTGATGTAAGACTCAGAATCATGAGTGGCAACATACCCATCGTCCCAGCAAGAAATCTGTCCAGTATCCCAATTTATTCTTGGCTTGAATTCTTTCAGGAAGGGCATCCCCAGGAGGATGTGTTCCTTCCCTACCAAGGGACTGACGTAGCATTTGACCCATAAAACCAGGTTTTTGACTATCATCTTCAGGGTCACCTTTCTTGTAACCCACTTGATGTCCTTTCCGGTAAACAAAGTCATCTTGAACTTGCTCTTGACACAATATGTGGTAATTCCAAGTTTCTGAACGATTTGTTCCGAGATCAAGGAGACCTCAGCTCCTGAGTCGATACAGGCTATTATTCCTGCGCTGTAGTCTGGCAAATATACTGTCCTGATTGGAGAGGTCAATCACATAGTTGATTCATCATCTATAGAAGTACATTTAGCAGACAACATTGAAATGGGACCAACCGATGCAGGAAAATCATCGGTCCTTTCTAAAAATCCTTTCACAACCCGAACTGTTCCCTTTCTTCTGCCGTAGCTTCTTGTTCTCCTATATAGGCGACCTTGTGCCCATCTTGTTTGAGAACAATATGGATTTGAGGGAGTTCCTTGGGTTTGGATTTACAGTCACGCTTGTAGTGACCTTCAGCTCCACAATTGAAGCATTTCATTTCCAGTCCAGAATGTCTAACGTTCTGTTTGCATTTGTCGATGTCCATCACATCAGGATCTTGGGAACCTCCATGGTAATGAATGAACTTTCTTTCATACTGAGATTCCTTCCCTTCTAGGATATGCTTCATCGCAATCATGGTTCTCACTTCTCCTGTGCACTGTATCCACTTGATGACCGTGGAAGGGGTGTGCCCAGAATTGAGAATCCATTCACAATACTCTTTACTTAATCCTTTTCCGAAGAAGATCCCTGCTTCACATGATTCTTCTTTAAGTTGAGCCTTATTGACAAGCCCCATAAACTTGGCTATGTATGCCTCAAGTTCTCATTTGCCTTGAGTGATGTCAGAAAGGCATAGGATAGCGAGAGCAGTTTGATTGCCAGATTCAAATGTAGCTTTGAGATGGTCCATGAACCTCTGGAAGGTGTCCATGTAGTAGATGGTCCCGTTGAGAAGCTTGTTTTCATTTTGATAGTTCTCAGTGAATGAAACAGCAGCGCCTTTCATCATGTATGTGAGCGCAAATGAAATCTTGAAGGACTCCATGTTGTAAACATGCTTGTTTAGGTTCAAATAACCTTCAACCTGCATAACCCAGGTCTGAAGCCCATTGTGGCTTCCATCATATTCTCTGGGATGCCCAACATTGAATTCTTGACCTCTGTTGGGTGGGCAGCAATCATATGCATCGTCCAGATCAGCTGGGGCCTTACCCTTACTGGACCCTTCGACAGGGACCTCTGGGGGAATTACCTTTCTGAAGTTTCTGGCATACCAGGTGCATAATGCTGAGTCTGTAGGCATTCCTGTTGGAAAAGGGTCACTATTATGATTTACCATGGCCTTGTGAATTTCTTCTGCCATTGCGAGCCTTTGTTCTTCCAACCTTTGTCTCAGCTCCTCTTCGGAGATCGTCCTTGTAGGCTTCTCAGGGGCTGATTCTCCATGACCAAGTGTCATGGACATATCGGGTGACTTGCATGCTTCTTGTTCTTCCTTGAGGACTGATCCGAACAAAGTATCAGACTTCTGATTGTCTTCTTCTTCTGAACTAAGCGCAACTTCCGAATCCCTAAACCAGGATAGATAAGATAAGCGAGGATTGGTGGCAGTAACCGAGGGTCCTAGTCTTCCAAGTGGAATGGGCGGAAGCAGGGGATTTCTTCCGAGCCCAAGGGGATTTGGACGAGGAGGGACTGGGGGTCTCGATTTCTGAGGGTTAGACACTTTAACGAGAAGTGATAACAATGGCTGAGGGAGGATTTATTTCTTGAAAGAAACCTGTCAGTGTAGAGGTGTGATTGTGCATGAGTGGCTTTATGTGTAGGGAGACATGAGTGCTGACTCTAGGGAGGTGATCTATTAAAGCCTAATGGCTGCCTGTAGAGCAGTGGAGTTGATTGAGGGTAGAGGGGTGCTTCTCAATTTTGTTATTGACTCGTTAGTCAAGTTGAGAAGCACAGGTGGAGAAGGAAAGCAGGTTAGTCTTTACACTGAGGGAGACCAATGAGCCTTTGGTGTAGGAGTGGTTTGTTGAAGTTCAGTAACCAGGGACGAGTAAACTTTTCGCGAAGAGGTTGACAAGTCCCAAAAGCTGTGCAGAGTTTTTTGATTTTGTTATGCCCAAGTGTGGTGACTTCTTCAAATGGAATAGGCATGAAGTGCACGAGGTGGGAGTCTATGGGCCGAACTTGTTGTAACCCCTATGGCTGAGTTATTGCGATAATCCGTCAAGGGTTCTGTCTGCTGGCGAGTCCCTAAGGTTGTTTGTGTGGAGAAAGAATGAGGATAAAGCAAAGGGATGAAGCTCAGTTGCAAGCTATTGAAAAACTGCAGTTACAGGATGAAGTACAGAGGATTATATACTCCTAAGTACGAGTACCATACCAGTCGGGATGTGTATCCACAGTAATCAACAGAACTATCACTGAAATAAATATGAGTCAAGTGGTGCCAATGATGAGGGTAGGGAGGCAATGAAGGCTATACCGGCTGGCGCAATCAATGCGCAGCGAGGAGCCTGACACTGGAGCTATAGTACAACAAACAGGCAATATAAATGAGTCAAAGACGAGTCATCAGAACAACAAATGAACAAGTTGTCCATCAGAGAGGGTGGTGGAATACCGGATCACAGTGGCAACACAGTCTCGACAGGTATTGGAAATACCTTGACAGCCAGAGATCTGAAAGTCCCCTGGAGCATTTGAGCCCCTAGGATGGCGACAATTATGAGCGACGCAACAAGGCACATGATGCATGTGACCACGAGAAGTCAAAAAAGGAAGGACCCCTGGCGGAAGCATAACACTGACCTCTGGCCTCAATTCTGGTCCAACCAGACTTGGCCCCTGTCTCCTGGCCTTGACTTCAGTCACCTGGACTTAGCCCCTGTCACCCAGTCTTGAAGCCCAGTCACCCAAGGGTAAACCCATACTTGACAGGAGGTCCCTCAGCCAGTGTGCAAGGTAAGTCCCTGTGGGTTCACTGGGTAGTGTTATTGACACTATGGGAACATAGCAATCTCAGCAGGCCATTACTGAGGGTGAGGATGATGACAAGCTGAAGGCATCCATCCCCCCCAGGTTGGTACTGCATGTGGTGCACCATTAAGGGAGCTCCATGCTTTGGGCCAAGCAGCAAGATGTGCAATGAGTGTGCAAAGATGAAGCAAGGATGCAAGAAGTCCAGCAAGGGAGCTGGCAAAAGGGCACAGGCTGGTGCATCAGTAGGTGAGTGGCAGCTGCATTCCAATGTGCCCCAGGCTAACAAGGTGCAGTGCAATTGACTAAGGCACTGAAGGCCAGGCCATCCAAATGGGCCCACAATGATGATGTGGAGGTGGTCGAGACCCATGCATGTGGTAAGGGTAAGGCACCAGTGCATGGTGGGTTTGATGGCAAGACCACCTTGGATATCTTGCAAGCCCTCAGGATGGTCAGGGCCAAGGCTGTGGCTGTGCATGCAGCCAACCTTCGCCTTCAGGTCCACATCAAGCAGCTCTTGGAGGCTCTGGAAAAGCTGGGAGTAGAGTAGATGATCACACTGTATGTAGATCCCTGTTCATATTATTTCCTGCATTGCTGTTGTCCCATGCATCATGCACAGAAATACATCAAGTCTTTTCTCATCTGACATGGTTGCAACATAAGGCACTGTGAAGGACTTCTGTCCACTCAGCAAGGAACTGGCCCTGAATTGGCCATGGTATCATAGAGTGCATGGGGTACTGCCTGACTTGTCTTCTTTGTGTGACTTTTGACTTCTCTTAGTGATGAGTCCTCTAGTATGGTCTTGATGGTAGGATGTGATGGATTCTTGAAGAGGGAGTGAAGGGACTGTTTATTGGGTAACTGGGGTGGTCTTTGTGTTTCAACTGCAAGGAGACAGAAGAAGAATTGAAAGGAAAATAGATCAAGGGGCACATGCTGACTGCATGTTCAAAGAAGAAATGTGCAGGGTGGTTGTGAGTATCTGCAGTATAGAGCAGCCAAGGATGGCATCAGTGAGTCTAGTAAGAGAGATAGGAGAAACATTGTTTTAGCTATATACTTATTTGGTGTTTTGTTATTTTTCTGGACAGTTTTGGACTTTTTGTTAGTGGTTGTTATGTGTTTTGAGTGAGGACTAGCTATCAGTAGGATCACCAGATGAAACCCAGGGTGGAACAGAGGTCTCTGGCCAAAACCCAGGGTAAAACAGATAAGGGGAAATGAACTGTGTTTAGTATCAGATGAAGTGAGTGGTATGTGGGTCACCCCTGCAGGGGACTTTGAGCACTGACTGTCTCCAGTCAGTATGGGAGAAGGAACAAGAGTAGCAGAAGAAACTGCAGAGGGGCAGGTGAAGCTGTGGAAGGAGGTAAGGGTATTGTGGGAGAAGAGGATATGGAGGGAGGGCATGATGGACAAACTGTGGATACTGGAAAGGGTGGATAGTCAGCTGTCTGAGGCAAAAGCCTCTACCTCATCATCAGTGGGGTCATCCTCAGCCTCCTCAAGAAGGTGGTCTAGTTCTTTGTCATCCAACCCAGTAATGCAAGTCATGCTTGTGTGGGTTTGAGACTGCAGGTAGTAAGGAAGTAAGTGGAATGTGGTGAGGTGGAGTCTGGAGATGGAGCCATCCAACTCAGCCAGCAGGTATGAGCCTCCAGTGGTCTGACAAAGGACAACCATGGGGCCAGTGTACTGTGGCTTCATCTTCTGGTTCAGCTCTTTCTCTATGTGGGAGTTATGAATGAGCACAAGAGTGCCAGGAGCAAAGTTATGGTCTTTAATGTGATGCTGAAATGTGGCTTCAAACTGCTGGACAGACTGGAAGCATGTGTGGAGGACATTACCATGGACCTGGTCTAGGTCATCCTGACACTTCTGTAACTGGCATGCACACCAAGCAATCAGTTTTGTGGTAGTCAGTGGTGTTGCATCATCACAGGATAGGGGTAAGAGTAAGGTAGCCTCAGCAAGGTTGAACAGGAACAGCAGCTTGACACCCATGCACCATGAAGTAAGGGGACAAACCCATAGACTTCAGAATGGTGACTCACTTGGCCCAGAACACAGAGTGCATGACAGTGTGCCAGTGGTGGTTGTCATTCTTGCAGCTCTTCATGATAGCCTTGCACACATCATAGTGGTGACACTCTACAATGCCATTAGCCTGAGAGTTGTAAGGAGAGATACAGATGTGACAGATATGATATTGCATGGCTAAGGCATCTAAGGCTTGAACAAATGTGGGCCCATTGTCAGTGACAATCTCAGTGAGCAGACCCCAGTGGCATAGAATGTCCTCAAAGATGAAGGACACAAGCACAGTGCTATTTTCTGTGCACAGCATGCACCATTCAGGATATGAGGTAAGCATGCAACAAGCCTGTACTATGTAGTGGTAGCTGCTGGCTTTGGGCATTAGCATTGTGTCAATGTGAGCATTATGAAACAGGCCCCCTATCATGGGCACAGTGGGAGGGATATGAAGCTTCTGTGTCTGGCAGATCTGGCATTCATGACAGGTGTGAACATACCACTTCACATCCTTGACAAGAAGAGGCCACCAAAAGTGGAGGAGGAGGTGGGTGCAGACCATGAAGACTCCTTTGTGCCTGAGGTTGTCATGTGCTGCTTTGATGAGACAATACCACTTGGACTAGTTGCCATCTAGGAGGAAGAAGTGGCTGGCCAAATTAAAGAAGGACAATTACTGTGCATCAGTAAGGTCAGGAGGTTGCTCACAGGTCACAAGGAATGTGCAGATCATTTCTATCTTTGCTTCATGTGCACAAGCCTTTATGGACCATGGAATGGCAGGGTTGTCAGGGGTATCAGAAGGGTTATCAGTATGATCAGTATGGGTGGTCACAGAGAATACAAGATAGAAGGATGCAGGTGGTGGGAGGCTCACCTGATGATAAGTGGGTGGCAGCAAGGAATGATGATCTTGATTGGAAAGGGACATGGGAGGTGGGCAGTCATTGACAACCTCTGTAGAGAAGGAGTAAAAATGGTCTAACCAATCCTCATGGTCATCATCCTCTGGCAGATCAAGTTCTGACCACAGATGGCAGGACAGGCCATCAGGACCAGCATGCCTGTCCATGGGAACATGGACAAGTTTGAACAAGAAGAGGAGGACATCAGTGATCCACTAATTGATCATCATGTTAGGCTGCAGATCTGGGTTATTTATCATGCCCTTAATATACTTTGCATCTACCTCCACAGTGAAGTTAGTAAGGCCAAAGATGTATACATGTACTGCATGCAACATGTGGAAGAGACTGTACAACTCAAGCTTAACCTGGGAGTAGTGGCTTTCCACTTCATTGAGGGTGATGGATCCAAAGTGACTAGGGTACCATTTGCCATCTTCACCAAGTTGGTAGAGGATGTGCCAACTGTGACAACTGAAGTGTCAACTGTTAAAATTACTTCATGACCACACTCATAGCCAATCCTTCAGAGTGTGGGAAAATTTACAATTTCGTCCTTGGGTCATTGCATGGCAGTGTGTTGTGGTTTGTCCCATGTGAATGGTACATCTTTCCACATGAGTGTGACCAGCAGCCACACAATCTTGGCAAAGTCTTTGATGAAGATTTGTAGTACACTGCAGACACTGAGGAAACCATGAACCTGTGTCAGGTTGCAGCACTCAGGCCAGTCATGGATCTTTTGCACTTTTCTTTCTTCAGGAACATGACCTTCAAAGGTGCACTTGTGGCCAACAATCACAGTGGACAGAGCAGCTAGCATGAACTTCATTGCCAAGATGGTGGCTCTGACATTCTGCAAATGCTGGAGGATGCAGTTAATGACTATACAGTGATTCCAGATAAATTTCCAAATCCCAGGATTCTCTGAGATAGTCTCATAGGAACCATCTGCACACTGATAGTGGGTTGTCTCAGATTTCACAGGGACATCATCTATGAAAGGCAAGGTATGATGCAGGATCTCATCTTGGAGGACAAATGCAGTATCTCCCTGGTATACCTGTACTGTGTTCACATGACCTTGCAGCAGAGTAGTAAGCCAATGTGGTCCAAGGGGGGTACTGAAGGTGGTGAGGTCACAGGAATCAACATGAAGTGTGCACTGGTCATACCCAGAGTAGAGGTCCATCATCACATACACCACATATCCAGTGAAGGACTCTGTGAAATGTTCTACAAGAGGTGGGACAGATGCATTGCAGATGGTCACTACATTCAGGGGCTGTAAGTCATGCACAAGGCAAAGAGACTTTCCATCTTTCTTTACTATGCTGAACCAGCAGGAGCAGTAAGCCACTGTAGAAGGTTCATACATGCTGGACTTGATGTGATCTTTAATCATGTCAATGACCTGGGCATGTATCACACTTGGGATGGGGATATTGCATTGGACCCAAGGCATGTGTGGAATTGTAGGGATCTTTACAGGTGGGAAATAGTGTTCATCTAGGTGTCCATGCTCTGTAATGTCCCAAGTGAATGTGGGCTCATGGACTGAAATGAGCCAAGTCATGAGTTTGAGTTCTTCTGGCCAAAGCCAATCTGCAGGATCAAGGTCAAGGTCTGTGGCCCATTCAGCAGTGAAGTGGATGCCTGGAGCTGAAGTCTGGCAGGTGTGTAGGGAGTGGTTGGAGACCAGTGAGCAGATTGTCAGGCAGGCTGTGCATGATGTGCTATTCTTCTGCCATTGGGGCAGGTACTGTCCAAACTTTCTTGGCAACTGGCTTGTAAATGAGAGTGTGAACCATGGGGTCTAGTTGATAAACACTGTCAAAAGTGGCTATAGCAGAGGGGTTTAGTATTGTCTGAGTGGAAGAGAGGAAAGTGAAAGCAGGCAAGGGTATTCTGGTGGGTATGTTCTGCAGTGTGAGTGCCACAGGCGAAGGGAAGTTCATTGAAGTGAAGGCTAGAGATGAGACTGTGGGACTGAGGAATGGATAACAGCAACTGAACAGGAAACAGGATGTCTTAGTAGGCTCTCCCTGACTGTTTGGTGGATCATTGATACTCAAAAACACCATTTGACTATACTCTGGTGGCTATGGCAGTGCTTGCTGCACTTACAGTGCAGACAGCCCTTGCACCACAGGCATGTGGGCAGAGTGTACTCATGGCCATCATTTGGGTTGCAGAGAGTGATCTGCTGTCCACTGTTGGGATAATCATTTGTTACTGCACTCATAAGGAAGATGAATGGACATCCAAGGAGCATGTCAAAGTTGGCATGTTCAATTACTTGAACCTGGAGCATGACTGGTTTGGCTCCAAAGTCAAGTTTCAGGTTCTCTAGAATGCCTACAGTAGTGTCTTTAGACATGTTAGCAGAGGTCATAGTCATGAGATGATTGCAGTGCAATGGAAGCCCAATTTTTTCCCAAATGTGCCTGGGCATGGTGATGATTTCTGAACCAGAATCCAGTACACAATTGATTGTGATGTCAGTCCTGGGGACCTTGGCTTCAATGCAGTGGAGCAGTAGAGTGTGGTGAGCCACAATGGACTGTTGTCACCATGGATGACACAGTCTCCATATTTGCATGCA